TCTTAAATGTTTAATCAAAATAGTGTACTACAATATGGAACAGTGACTTACATAGCTATGAAGAGGTTTTTGGGGGGGCAGGGAGGGAGAACAATGGCTGTCCTGCAGTTTCTCTTCCATTTCATTATTCATTACATTGTCATGTTGTGTTTCTACCAGGAACAGTGCTCAAGGTAGCTATAACAATCCCAATTAAAACTTGTAAGATAAAAACACACCAAAAATAACTGATAACTTTCACAAAATTAAACCTCACATCAGCAACAATCATGTTAAACGGAAAAAAAAGTGCCTGAATAAATATGCATATGCTTTTATCCGCTTATTTATTAATTTTTTATGTTGTCTGATCCCAACAGGTCTTACAGATTGTCCCCATGTTGGGCCATTGGAATAAATCCATAAATAATAAAAAGTTAATATTTTCTATTTAGATCAACTAAAATCCAGTAAGCAAGCATTCAAGTTACTTAAAAGTATCATTAGTGCAGGGGAAATTCTAAAGTAATAATTAGTCATTATGAAGCAGTAATAGTAAATGAAGCAAGGATACAATGAATCATTTCAGAGCGTCACTTTCCTTCCTTTTTTGTTACACATGAAATTGGGTATTTTCCTTTCCTTCCAATTATGAAATTTAGCTGAGGAATTCAATGAGCAATATTTACTGAAATGCATTTCCACTTTTTCTTAAGCCTAACTAAATTTAGCCTTATCCAGATTCTAGATAGGCCTCCAGATACAATTCAAGCTTTCTATGGCATTCCCAGCCTTGCCTGAAGTTTTCATGTACAGGTGTCATCTGCATCTCTTTAGGCAGTCCAACAAGATGCTACGGTCAATAGCAGGGCTGTCAAACTCACGGCTCGTAGGCCAGATACATCACACACAGCACACAATCGGCCACACCCATGCCCGGTTTATCAAAAGGGGGAAAAGTCATGATATATCACATGACAATGTCATGACGATGCGAGTTTGACACTCCTGGTCTATAGTATCAAAAACTGTCAAGAGAACTAATAGGACAGGAAAGGCATGGTCACCCATCAAGGACCATACAAGGTTGCCTACCAAGGCGACTAATGCTATGACACTTTATAGCTCAGTCACTTAGGCCTAAATCCTGTTTTCTTTCCAAACATTTACAACCTCAATTTTCGTCACCTAATTAATGTACCCCCTTCCCAAATTAATTGGTTTATGTCATTCTGGCTAAAAACGTTTGCAGACTTTTCTAAACTTGCTTCAGAATGTTTAACTATCATTCTTTACTTTAACTTTTTTCCCTTTGCTTTGCTTTTACCCTTTTTTAATTTCCGTTTGACTGATGCTCCTTTGATTATTTCCTTCTGCTTTTCTGACTCTTTCCTTCTATTAATTTAATGCCAAGCTCTTCCTTGTCACCAGATTCAATTCTGAACTATGGGTCTTTTTCAGGAAGGCATGTCAGAACTTTTTTTTTTAAAAAAGACACCTTTGTTCCTGTCTCAGGGCACTTTCATAGTTTAGAACAGTGATGGTGAACCTTTTAAACACTGAGTGCCCAAACTGTGCGCATGCACTCCCAAGCTGAAAGGTATGCACGTTCAAAGTGCAATTGTGTGGACGTTTTCATGTACGGACATTCGTAAAAATGTGCATGTGTGAACATGCATGGACATGTGCATGTGCATGCACGGATATGTACGCATGTGCAGCAGAGGCCCGAAGACCAGCTGCCCAGTGGGAGACAAGGCATCCCAACACCGGTAGTGCTTTTTCTTTTGTGAGCTTCTGTTTCGTCATTTGCAGGGAAACAGAAGCTCATGAAAAAAATGCCACGGAGATCTAACCTGGGACAACAGTGCTTGTGCCAGCAGAGAGGGCTCTGCATGCCACCTCTGGCACCCATGCCATAGACTCACCATCACAGGTTTAGAATGTTTATATTCCTTAATCCCTTCTTTTGTGTGAAGTGGTAAAATTAAAACACATGCTTGTATGATGAATGCATTCTGAGGACAGCTTTCAAGGCATAGCCTCCCATGACTGAGAGACATTTGATTGAAAAAAATCGCTAATTTGATAGAATATTTCTGCAATATTTTCTCTGATTGGGAAAATATTGCTTAAATATCCCATCAAATTTATAACTGCCACTGGTGATGTTTCAAGAAATGTCTGATACCAGTACCATGTCAAATAATTATCTATTTTACAATCATGATCTCAGAATCAAATCAAGAATAATGTAAAAAAAAAGAATCAAAGATATTTAAAACAAAAACAGAAATATTATGTCATGGATCACAAGCATCTTATACCAAATTTTTTTCTATCACCGCCTATTTTGTATCATCACCTATTTTGTACCATTGCTAAATCCAATGTTGTCCACTTCCCACCCCCATGTTAAGGCCATCAAAAGGTTACTCATGCCTTGCCTATACTCTATAGGAGAATCTTGATGGAAGAATAGTAATTGTTTTTCTCTTCCGAGCAGGGTCTACTTTTTAACTAGAAGTGACTAACTAGTTTGTTGGCCAAACCTGATGTCAGAGAGTGATTGGTCCAAAGTTACCTAGCCAGCTTTCATACCTTAGACAAGACTAGATCTCACAACTTCTTGCTTTTCAGCCAGGTGCCTTAACACTAGATAAACTGGCTTTCTACAAAAATACATCTGCAGCACCAGGTACTGCTTTAATCTTGGTCACAAGATTAGTTTATAGATTGGTTACTGTTCAACTCAAACCTCTTTTAGAAAAAATAAACAGTAGCATGTCAATAGCTAATGGTTGGGGCGGGAGGGGGGAAATGATCCCTGAATATCTAAAGAGCACAACTGAATAGCTTATCTTTCCATCCAAAATCTCTTTCAGTAATTTTTCAAAGCAAAAGAAAATAAAAAGAGACTGAGCAAAGGACAATATTCTATAAAGATTTGCAGTGGCAGTGCCATAATTCTTTCAGTAATAGGTAAAAAACCAAACCTCTTTTATATTAAAGTAAGATCAAATATTTCAGCATGCGTTAATATTTTAAATAAAACATATTTGGATGCCATTCAGCTGTTCCCGTTACAATTAAAAATTAGCCTCTTTAATTCACACCATAATTTTCTATGTTTGTCCACAGAATAGATGATACATATTCTATTATGTGTACATTTCATAATGTGTTTTATGGCTGAACTGAAAATAAGTGCCACACCAGCCTGCTTAACATCCCTGTCCTACTGTCCCCATCTATTTGTATTTATTTCTTCTGCTCATATCCATGTTTATATTTATACCTGCTGTCTTGTACATGTTTGACAAACTAATAAATACAAATACTTGAAAAGGGTAGCCTGTCTCAAGGCTGTGGGATGTTAATTGCAAAAGGTTTGAAATTTGAACCATTTTTTTTTAAAGTGCATGGTGCGATTTAAAATGGTGTCTTGAAAGAGGGGCATACATTTATTCCCATGGCCTCATTTATTTGTATCCACTTCAAATTCACAAAAGAAAAAGAACTACAATTAAATTAGACACACAACCATAAACGGATCCCACTATTAGCTGCCTAAAGCTCTTTCTTCACATTTTCTTCGGGACACTTGAGAAAGAGACTTCAGAAAGAGTGGTCAAAAGCCCAAATAAGTAAAACTGTTGGGAACTCTCTAGATTTCAAGACGAATAGAATAGAATAGAGTAGAATAGAATAGAATAGAATTCTTTATTGGCCAAGTGTGATTGGACACACAAGGAATTTGTCTTTGGTGCATATGCTCTCAGTGTACATACAAAAACAAGATTCATTTGCCAAGAATCATAAGGTCCAACACTTAATGATAGTCATAGGGTATTTCAAACCGAGT